TTATTCAAAATTTGATTTTTAAAGTTTTGAAATATATGTAAAAGATCATATTATTTTCAAATTCATGAGATTTTTATATTGATTAACTAATTAGTGCCCTGTAGACATAAACAGATACAATCTTTAGTTTTTAAATTAGGACCCTCCCTYTTAATTCCACTGTAATTATTTAGAAAGTAATTTTTCTGAAAACTTGAAATTCGTACGAGTAGTTTGTTGAACAAGTTATTTAACTACTAAAGAAAATAGGTCTATGATAATAGGTGTGTAAAAATGTTTAGTGATTATTTATAAATTAATTATAAAATTATTATCTATAATTATTATTATCAAACATTTGGAGAAATGGCCTAACCGAACAAAAATGTACCATGTATAAATAAAAAAAAAAAATAACAGAATATTTTTTATGTCTATAAATAGTGCAAAAGAGTCAACAAATGTCAGCTAGGTACAGTTATTTATTGTTTTTTTTTTTTATTGTTTCGATAAGCATATGGGAAATATATTACTTATAATCCCCTAAAGTACCAATTAGATCCAATTTTTTACACGAAACCACCATATAAGTTAATTATTGAAACGTTTTTATTGCTTCAAAATCATAGTAAAACACAAGTTACAGTAAKACATTCATCACACCGCTTAGAATTTAAAATTATTTTTCCCTGATTTTATATYATTCAGACACGCAATTATTATGTTATCTAACTTATGACTTACGACTCTCATAAAGTTGATTAAACTAAATCCACTAGACCATCCAGTACTCGATCTATTTGCACAACTGTTCGGTTCGGCTTTAACCGCTTTAGTGCCACCAATACCGCGCAACGCTTTAGCATACACATTGACCGCATCAAACATTAATAACGCGTTAACCTGGTTATGTTTAGAAGCACAATGAGATAAAAAACAAATTATTTTCATTTGTTAAATAATAATATTATATATTTATTACTGTAATAGTGTCTGCTCGAAACACTTCCATATTCAAATTCATTCTCTGTTGTACGAATTCAAGATCTGCCATGATACTAGTCACTGTTGGACTTGATGGATCTATTAGTTTCACTGCAGTGATATTGGTACGTTTAAATTGTAAGTGACCATAGTTTATGGTGTGTGCATCCTAAAGACGATATACAAATAACGTATCATAATTCATAAACATAAAATACACATTAAAAAAAATATATTTATATTTATCAAAAAGTGATGAAGGTACCTATAAAAAATAAAAAAAGTAATATATRTCCCAAAATTATGTCAAATTTATTTTAAACATAATAAATTCATAAAATAATTGTATAGTATTTTATACATAACCAACTAATAGGTATTATATGAACCAAGACTAAGTAGCTAATATTGTGTAGGTACTAATGTATACAGTAAAATAAATATAAAACTTCATTATGTTATGCAAACAAAATAAATCTAAAATTGTTAAATCTGTATTATTTAAAACGTGTATTTTAAAACCAATCTACACAGTTATTAAGTAAAAAATTTAGTAAATATTAAGTACTTGTAAAAAAATTACAAATTAATTTTTAAAATAAATTAAATATTAATACTATCATTAACTATTATAAATTGTTTATAGGTATGAAAAATTATTGTTTTAAACTAATAGTTACAGTGTTGAGACGTTATAACTGAGAGGTATATAATAAAATAATGTTTAATAAGCATTTAAATGCAATAACATCAATGGTTTTTTTTCAACTAACCAGAGAAGTAATAATAAAACTGTGGTAATCGTCCAATAGGCCTACGTCTTCAGCTTGCTCCAATATAGTTAATATGATATCTGTATCACAATCCAGGACAATATGACTCTCCAGAGATTTTTTGACCTCTTTGAGCATAGGTCTGAAAAATTGTTTTGTCCGACAAAATTTAAACGCAAAATGATACGTAAATTAATTTTTCTAATTGCCTACCGGAAATCGTTATTTTCTGGTAACTTTATAATAGTAACGGCCGATAAATCAGTATCCGATAATTTGGTCTGTCCAGAATAATCTTGGATTAAGTGCTGTAATCTTARCAGTCCTTCGTCTCGCTGGTATAGCAAAGTAAAGGATGTCCAATCCATGTCACGGACGATGGCCGTATACCCGCGACTGAGCACCGCCGGATCCGGATAAACATTAATGTAATAGTTCGGTTGTTGTCTTGGGTTCATCTTCCAATGTGTTTCGATGTGGGGGATTTCCATAGAATCGCATATCGATTGGACTATAACCGATGACTCGTAGCCTGCTGGACCGAAAATAGCTCCGACGCCGGACTCAAGAGATTCGCATACTGTGTAGTGATGATGATAATGTGACGTATTATGATAGCAATAACATAAAATAATCGAYGGTACTTAAGTTATATCTACAAAGATCTCTATAGGCTACACAAGTAAATAGTAATACTTACATTGATAAAAATCTGAACAAATTATAATTCTTTTTCTGGACACAAATGGTCCACGCTAACCTTACCCAACACATCCAGGGTGATTTTTAAGGCATGCTCGCCTTATTTGTATGCTTAAATTATGCATATATTCAAATTGTTATTTCTAAAATTTACAAGCACACTTGAAGACCATACTTTTAAATACTTAAGATTTATTGTACCACTTAAGGATGATTTTCTGAAAATACAAACATCTGTTTTCAAATAACTCCCCCCCCCCTATTTTCATTTTTAATTATTCAGCAGACATTTTTTTCTTTTTGAGAATTTTTATATATTAAAATCAAAATTCTAACGAATAGTTTTTAAKTTATTTAATTTTGTGTACTAAGGATAATATATCTGTAGTAATGGATTGAGTATAGGAGCTTATGTGATTTGAAAATGTTAGTAATTAATATTGATCTATCAATATAAATAATTTTGAAAGTCATCCAAGCATAAATATTGCATCTAATATTAAATATATAGTTGATATTTTATTAAAACCATTTTTTAGGATTATTATTACAAAACACTATACGGATTTTTCTCCCCTATTAACAGAACACTAGTCTCCTGTAATAACTTACAAAATAAATTTGATATTCTTCATTCCTCTCAAAAAGCGATACAAAATAATATATTTTCTTTCTAATAATTTTTTTCTATTTTAATATGTTGAATATAACTAATAAAACCAGAGTGTAAATATATTTAATTAATATTTTGTATTTAATGCTATGATGTTTTATGTGATATGTTTTTTTTTTTTTTTGTTCATACTAATTTAAGTATCTAATTTATTCTGTACTGATGGCTTTCGGGCGCGTATTTCAAATAAATAAATAAATAAATAAATAAATAATTCTTTTTTTTATTAATATTTTTAATAACTCAGAAATTTCTCATCAAAATTAAAATTTAAATACCTACATTAAAATTATAAGTAAAAAAAGAAGTTCTCATTTGAAAAAAATGGTATAAAAAATATCAGGAGTTTTAAATTATGGTCTTTGCGTATGTATACTAATTTTAAAAATCAGAATTTAAATAATTGCACTATTAAAGGGAAACATATGGGAGCGAGCATGCTTAAAAAATCATCTTGTATATAATATATGACGTGCAAGATTCTACCTTATTATGCGTCATATTAAATTGTATAATAATCATTGCAGTCGYAATAGTCACTTACCTATTTTGCTAGTTCGATAACYGTCGTTGATGTCGACGATTTCTACMCGGCCTTCGAGTTTGACATCGTCCGAAAGTGTCGGGTCCAAGTTGACTTTATGTATGGCCAGTTCAAAGGCCATTTGTTCTACCGAATCTTCGGATGGAAACAGACCCACTGGAGCACACACAATAATAACGATGACACCGTCACGTTTTTTAAATACAACATTATGGGTAACGATACAATATTATACTATAATATAATACATATAATTTTGTACATTAGAATATAATAGTAGATATTACTTTAATACGAGTGCAAAAAAAAAAATAATAATAATACAACAAAATATTAATATATTATTATAAGTATATTCAATCGATCACTGACCGATGGTGATGCGTCCCACATCTTCCGCTGCACAGACCGCGAAGCCGGACAACAGGAACAGGATCACTACAGTAGCTGCGGATTGCATGTCGCGCGCGGAATTAATGAACAGCTATAATAGCAGCTACTCACACATGCGACATGCTGTAGATATATAATAATATTATACGGGATTATTAATTCCGTACATTATTTTATACGTTTTCACGAGACACTTGCTAAACCGCTGAAAATCTATATTTAGATTGCGCACGCAAATTGTAATGGGCTGCCAGCCAGTGTCTATCCCGATTCGAAACAACCGCAATGACCTATCTACGATTATTGAGGAGGAAATCTGCAGCCACACGTATTTATTGCACGCTACGGCGTTAGGTATATAATATATATTATTATTATTTCCCACCACCTATCATGTGTGTAGACACGATAATCTTTGGCAGCCGGGTTAAAGGTTACACGCGTCTGGAAAATAATAATAAACGTGGTGACGGTGGCGGTTAATTTAGCACGCAAGCACGACCTTTATATTGTTGTCTTTGGAAGTCGGGCCAAACAAAAATTATAATGACCATCGCATCGGCAAGGGAATGAGTATTTTTTTTTTCTAACTGTCGTCGAATACCTATAACGCGAGTCGTTGTTTACATAACTGTCGGTCCTCGGAGGTATACCAAAATAACGATCCAATTTTAAATGTGGCATTTACCAATTCCGGCAGCACACTAATATTCGATGACTATAATATTTTTTAATTTTATGTACACGCAGACATTTCGCATGAAGCCACAATGCAAAGATGCAGAGGAGCAGATCATATTATTATATAGGTAGGTTGGTAGGTAGAGACTAGAGGTACTTAATTTAAAAAAAAAATCGATTAACGAAAAATAATAACTATAATTATACAACTATATAAATTGATAATATAATAAGTAATATGTATAATATTATAATAATTATATTGAAGTAATTATTTGGCAGTTATATCCGACGAACTGTCTTCTATATGTCTCACCGGTTTGGATGTTCCGTGACACTTCAACACGAATTTCAACTCCACCATGAATGCTTCCCAAAGTGTTAACTACAATTAAAATTAACTATTTAAGTAGGTACTAATTATTCAAGAATATTCTCATAAATATATTATTACGTAGATTGGTAAAATGTTTTGTTTGTAAATTTGTAATATAATATCAATAATATTATCATTATTAGTTATTACTATTGAATTGTTAAATCCTTTTTTTCGTTTAATATTAAATTTATTTAATTGTATAAAAATACAAACAAATTGTTCGGGTAGATATATATTTTATGATTTAATATTATAGAATAACATATAAAATATAAAGTCACCCGTGACCATACGATATATTATATAATATTATATATATTATATTATATATATATCGTATATTTACTGGATGGCCCAATGATAGAAAAATATCATGCATTTTTTAAGGACTTATACATTATATTTATCGATTTATATCATTTATATTTGATATATAGAAGATGAAAATAAAGAAAAATACGAAAAAGCCAATAGTTGTGCAATAGCTCAGAGCAGGACACTAGGTACTCATTTGAACAGGTYGAAGATTATTGGAAGAATATTTGGAGGTAGGTAAATAAAAACCAAAGCATTAACGTGCATAACARAATAAGGCTTATACTCGTTTCAGAAAATAAGGAATATCATACGATGAGAAATTATACTTTCATCGAGACTAGAAGAGAAACAATTGTTATACAAAAAGGATTGTTTGTGTGTGCATGTGAGACCTGGGCAACAATGAAAATTGATGAAGAATAACTCTAAATATTTGAAAGAAAAAYCCTGAGCAAAATACATGGTTCCACACTAAACCCGAAATCAAAAAGCTAGAGAAAAAATGAAGAGATCGAAAGAATTTTCAAYAGACAAAATCAACAAAAATGTCTGAAAGGTAAAAGAATAGAGTGTATTGTCTGTGTATGGTGGCAAAAAGATAGACTAATACATAAGGTCTTAACAACAAACACAGTGAAAAAAACTAAGATGTAGAATCCACTATCGTTTTTTTGATAGAGTAAAATAATTTTGGAAAGCCTAGGAACGATAAGTATTGAAGATGTCGATGATCGAAAAGTTTGGAGAGAATWAGTGAAAACAGCAATACGACTTGTGGCTTGTAAATTTTGTAAGCGCAAAAAAAAAGTTTAATTATAAAAACAGATTTAAAAATAAAATGATAACTGAATACTGAATATKTTTAATCAAGAGTTAATAACCGTTAAATATCTAGGTACATATTTTACACCACTATTCGTGTAAATTTAAAGATATTATTTGTTTTTGTGTATACTGCATACTATATAAATGTATAATGTATATTATATATAACTTAATTATTATAGTATTATTACTGTACACAATAATTCATTTGAATATACAATTAACACAATCCAACTTAAATTAACATGATTATAATTTCACGATTCATAAAYGAGTATGATGAATCATAAAATTAGTTGTTTTATTCTTTTGTACTACCTAAGAGATATATCATAATAATAAACATATGTGATTTGTATAGGTTCCAATTTATGTTAATATTTTTATCGAGTTAAAAAACATTATTAATATAACATATTATTATATAGTAAGTACTCAAAACTATTAACTCGTGTTTTATAACATAGTAATTAAGCATAATAATACCTTTTCTTCAACAGCTACTTTTCTTATATTCCATAAAAATTCGAGTATAGAGAATAAAAATGCTATAAGACAGCCAAGTATTAAAATCACGAACATACCACCAACTTCATTGACATCGAGTTCAGCTGTGTCTTTTTTTAAATCCTAAAATATGAAAATCCATTTAGGTTCAATGACAACAAAATTATTTATTGCTTATTATTATTAATAAACTCTGTGGACACACTATATAAACATTATAAACTAACTAACACTTGCAAATGTATAATTTCCCCTAACAGTCACCTCTAAATACAGGACATTTTTTTTTTGGAAACAGACTATACACTTTCTGCAAACTGATGAACCCAACCCTCTGAATAATGGACAATTTTTCAGTGACCTAGTAAAATGTGCCTGGTAAAATTTACTGTACATATCAAGTATAATTAAATTGAAAGGTATTTAAAAATGCTTAATTTCAAACTTCCATGATGTAACTTGTAATGATTTTAATGACTTAAATAATATGTGATAGAATGATATCCCCATGGGCCATGATCCAGTAATGATARAGTCTTGTTTTTAAATCAATTTGTATAGTTATTTTTGTTTGACACGATAATTTATGGTAATAAAGTAGATTGTTTTTCTTGAAATTGTTGGTTATTATGTACCTATAAATATATACACTAGCTGTTTTGTCCGACGTTGCTCTGGCCCAAAGATTTGTATTTTTAATAAATCAATTTGTAAAAAATGTAGTAATAAAAACCTATAGGAGTTGAAAAATAAGATATATCATATATCTGCACATCCATTAAGTCTCAAGAAATCTATTGATACAAATTTTATTGAAAACGGTCAAGTAATGTTTGAGTCTTTTAACTTCGGATGAACCTATATTATATTTATTTTTATCTGTACAAACTACAAAGTACAACCCGATTCGCCCGTGAAAAAATATTAAATATAGCGCTATAAAAGTGTAGGTATCTTGGTTTTGGTATAGGTACCTCAGTTTACGAAAAAGTTTTGTTGGTGTWCCTCACTTTCTTAAATAATTCAACTGTGATTGATAATTCRTCTGCGATGGATTGGAATAGCACTTGATATTACATACATCGAATGTAGTTAAAATTATACTCTTTTGATTTTCCTAGTATCTCCAATATTGATTTTAAATTTAAAAARTCGGTTGTTTCTAAGTGTGTTTATAAGCTACAAACATAAATTCAGCTATCATATTTGTTTAAAAATATAATTTCTTCATTRTACACCTGGAGACGATTTAATGCATGCTTTTACTTTATCCATCCAAGTAACCAATACATAATACTAATTTCTCTCATTWCTATTATGCATAGTATTATAATCTGTGAGCTGTAACTAATAGCATCTATTTACAAACATATAAATAAATATTTTCATCACAGATCTTAAAATCCTTTTATACATGTTCAATAAAAAAAAATAAAGGRCTATTTATCAAGATAATAAACTGTTATCCTACATTTTAAGTTAAACCAAATCACACACATAATTGAGCATGATCTTATCAAAATCGGTTGAGYASTTTTGAAATATATTGTGTATAAACACGTTGTATGCGTGATTTTTATGTACATAAAAATAACTGGTAATATTATAAAGTCAAATTACTAATAAACTATATAAAACCATTCATTTGCTATGTAGGTACATTATCATARTTAAAAATGAAGGACTAACCTTACACCTTTTATTATCAGATACTGACCACCACCTATTTTTTAGGCTCATTAACGCTCCTGATTCTGAAAGCTTTAATACAGCCATATTTACAAGCGTTCTGTGAGGAGCATCTATAATAAATTAAAAAATTAAACTTAATATCAATGACATAAAAGTGATTCATACTCAACTGAATGGCATCGCAATACCATAGGCTTTGTTATCCAGCCAATATCCCACTTCTGTGAGATCACAATTTCTCTGAACTTCATACTCGATAGAACTAGATTCCATAAAGAAAGCATAATGATTTCTCTCCTTCTTCACCCGATCCACCCCCTGTTTGTTATCGGATACCATCACAGAATCCCCATTTAGTTCCATACCACTCCACATCTTTTGGTATAAATTTACATCTGAGTTCTAAAAAAAAATAACGTAATTATTGTAAAGAATGTCAGAAAAATGAAAAACCTTTAAAATGGGCTTTTAAAAATATTATAATATCCATACATATCTATATATTTACTACTCATGTATTTATTTCAAATATGCACTTAAACTTTATAAATGTGCAAAAAAAAAAATGTTGAATTTTAAATAATCAATACTTTGTAGGGTGGGGTTGATTAATAAGAAAAGAAAAGAATTAAACTGAATGGTCTAACGTATTTTTATAYAATTAAGAAAAAAACACTATTCGGTTATAACATTAAGTAATGCTGTCACTTATTGGTACAGTATGTGGCGCACACTATATAGCTCACACGTACTGTATGATCACTATTACACTAGTTGACAAAAGACAGAAGGCTGAAGCCGACTATAAGTATAAGGTACGAGGAAAACCCAACGATATACCGATAGCATAGCCTACAGTCGTTCAYCTTATCTTATCTTATATATATATTACTACAACTTAATAAATTATAACTGAAGTACATAGAATATTATGAATTTATCGCCTCTGAATTAATAAATATGTTAATAATTAATAAATGAGTAATGATATAAACTAATTTTAAATAATGAACTGCGTAGTGCATTTTATATGTTAGTATGTTACCTATTAAATGCAAGAAAGCTGTTACTTATTGAAATATTAAAATAGATTTTATTCCTAAACGTATTTCGAAATAATTTTGTAGAAAATATGATCTGAAATAAAAGTAAGTATCTTATGTACTATAAAACTGCAAATATACATTAATACATTTAAATGATAAAATATGCAAACTATGGTTATTAATAAGAATAATTTAAAATT